CAAGTCTCAAATTCTGGAAATTGTTGTTCTATGAAGTCCTTGTCTTCCCATGATGCTTCATCATACTCCAATTGCTGCCACTTGATCAAGTACTGCACCACTGGTATACTTTTCCTGAGAATAGCTCTTCTCTTCAAGACCATTTCTGGTACTAAAGGACACTGATCCTGCAAATCAAATTCTGGTAGAGTAGTGGAGGTCTGCTGTGGAGGTCCAATCCTTTTCTTAAGTAAGGATACGTGAAACACTGGATGTATCTTAGCTGTAGGAGGCAATTTAAGTTTGTAAGCGACCTCACCAATCTTCTCTTCTACTTCAAAAGGCCCGTAGAACTTTGCTGCAAGCTTGAGACTCTTTCTAATAGCTATGGTCTGCTGCCTGTAAGGCTGCAACTTGAGAAACACTAATTCTCCTACTTCAAAACTCCTCTCTGTCCTGTGTCGATCTGCGAAATATTTCATTCTCTGCTGAGCCTTCAGTAGATGCTCCCTGATACTGGCAGAGATTCTTACCTTTTCCTGAATCACTTGAGTTGCTGCAGGAATGATAGAATCACGGTAGGGTCCCATTGGAAAGGGTAAAGCCCTATAGCCATAGAGGGCTTCAAAAGGGGACGTCTCTAAGCTTGAATGGTATGCAGAATTGTACCACCATTCTGCTAAGGGAAGCCACTTGCTCCACTGATTTGGAAATTCTCCAGTCATACACCTCAGATAAGCTTCCACACACTGATTCACCCTTTCGCTCTGGCCATCTGTTTCTGGATGATACGCAGAGCTATAGCATAAACTCACCCCAACCAGTCGAAATAGTTCCTTCCAAAAATGGCTAGTAAAGACTTTGTCTCTATCCGTAACTATAGTTTCAGGCAGACCATGAAGCTTATACACCTGATCCAGGAAAACCTGAGCAACTTGCTTGGCAGAGAAAGGGTGAGCAAGTGGTAGGAAATGACTGTACTTGGTGAATCGATCCACCACTACCAGAATGGTGTCAAGGTTCTGTGAAACTGGAAGTCTCTCTATGAAATCCATAGAGATGTGTGTCCACGCTTGTCTAGGTATAGGTAATGGCTGCAAAAGTCCAGGATGTTGAACATGTTCAGCTTTATTCCTTTGGCAACTATCACAGGCTTGCACAAACCTCCTAACCTCCTGCTTCATCTCAGGCCAATAGAATATACTACTGATTCTGTGCCAACTCCCTCTTTGCCCTGAATGACCTCCCACAGAAGATGAGTGCAAGGCTTCCATGATCTGTCTTCTAACTCCATTACTTGAGCCAACATAAAGTTTCCCTTTATATCTGAGAATACCATCACTGAGTTCATACAGATCTGGGTACTCAGGGTGCAGGATAATTCTAGCAATCAGCTCCTGGCACTGCGAATCTTGTTCATAGCTCCTGACCAATTCTGCCATCCAAGCTGGCCTAACAGAAGATATAGCCAAACAAACTCCTGTCATTTGTTCCCCCTCTCCTATCTCATCAGCTCTCCTGGAAAGAGCATCAGCCACTAAGTTCTCACTGCCTCGCTTGTACTGAATTTCATAGTCCAGCCCAAGTAGTTTAGTCAACCACTTATGTTGTATAGCTGTTGTTAATTTCTGATCCAGCAAATACTTTAAAGACTGATGGTCAGTCCGTATTATAAAATGATAGCCTACAAGGTAATGCCTCCATTTTGTCACTGCCATCACTAGTGCTAGTAGCTCCTTTTCATATGCAGACAACCCCAAGTTCCTTGGACTCAATGATTTGCTAAGGAAAGCTATGGGATGCCCCTCCTGCATGAGTACAGCTCCAATGCCTCCCCCACTTGCATCAGTCTCCACCACGAATGGTTGCTTAAAGTCAGGTAACTTAAGGACTGGAGCTGATGTCATTACCTTCTTGAGTAGATCAAATGCTTGCTGAGCTGAGTCAGTCCAGGTAAATGCATCCTTCTTAAGCAGATCTGTCATTGGTTTACACAAGATGCCATAGTTCTTAATAAATCTTCTGTAGTAGCCCGTGAGTCCCAAGAATCCTCTCAACTCCTTCACTGACTTAGGTGTTGGCCATGTTAGAATGCTGTCAACCTTGGAAGAGTCCATACTAACTCCTTCTTCAGCAATGGTATGTCCCAAGTATTCCACTCGAGTTTGTGCAAATGAGCACTTGGACTTCTTTGCAAACAACTGGTTTTCTCTGAGCACCTTCAGTACTATCCCCAGGTGTTGCAGATGTGATTCCCATGTCTTACTGTATATCAGTATATCATCAAAAAAAACTAAAACAAATTTTCTCAAATAAGGTTGAAAAATGTGGTTCATTAGGGACTGAAAAGTTGCAGGAGCATTAGTCAGCCCAAAAGGCATGACTAGAAACTCATAATGGCCACAATGAGTTTGGAATGCTGTCTTGTGCACATCCTGAGGTTTGACTCTGATCTGATGGTATCCTGCAGTCAGGTCTAGCTTAGATTTATACTTGGATCCAGCCAACTCATTCAGCAATTCGTCCACATTTGGAATGGGATAGCAATCTTTGATGGTGAGTGCATTCAGCTTCCTGTAGTCTACACACAATCGCCAGGAACCTTCCTTCTTCTTGACCAATAAAACTGGTGATGCAAATGGACTGTTGCTGTGCCTTGCAATTCCATGTCGTAACATCTCTGTAACCTGTTTCTCAATTTCCTCCTTCTGAGAATGGGGATACCTATAAGGCTTAAGCTTGAATGGTTGAGCTTCTGACTTCAAGGGAATTGCATGGTCACACGCCCTGATAGGTGGCAATGACACAGGCAGCTGAAAGACATCTGAGAATTCTCCCAGCAATTCTTTGATTTCCTGAGGTTGCTGCTCCTCACTCGACCCTTCTGAGGCTCTTTCTGTTGTCATTTCTGTTTCTATGGACCTGATAGCAAAACATCTCTTCTTATACTCTATAAAATGCCTAAGGTCCTTGCCCCTAATTAGATCCAACTCACAATCCTCCGAACTCCCTTGTAGATGAACTGTTTCGCCTTGATACTCCATAGAGATCCTAAGATTGCGGAAATCAAACGTGATGGGGCTAAAGTGAGTCATCCAATCTACACCTAGCACAATATGCCAGCCACTCAGTTGCATCACTTTCAGATCAAAGCCAAATTGGTGTTGATTAACTTCCCATCTGACCCTTGGACAGATGGCCTTGCTGGTTACACATGCTCCATTCCCCACAATAACAGAGAAAGGTGAGACCATTCGGTAAGGAATATCCAGTGCAATGACCAATTCACTGTCAATGTAGCTGTCAGAACTCCCTGTATCCACTAGGATTAGCACCTCCTCCCCATCTAGATGCCCAGTGATGGTGATAGTGTTTCTTTTGAGAGACTCTGACAGTGTGTGTAAAGACATTTCCATAACAGTTCCTGGATTTCCAGTGTGCTCGTCCTGCTCTCCCACTGCATCCTCAAAATCAGCTTCCTCTTCTTCATCCCCAAGGAAGAAATTCAGGTGACCTGTTTTGCACTGATGCCCTGCTCCGTACTTCTCTCCACACTTAAAGCACAGACCATTGTTCCTTCTGTACTGAATTTCCTGTGGTGAAATCCTTCTATTGTAATTGTTATCTGAAGTTGTCTTTCTTGCATTGGTGAACTTGTGCTGGTTAACAGGGGGAATCCTATATAGATTGCCTGAATTGGTGTTTGGGGGTTGACTCTTATGCATACCGAACTTATTCTCCACTAGATTTTTCTGCACTTCCCTTCCTTGTTTGTTCTGCAACTGCAAGGAGTACTCCTGTAGCTGTGCCATTTCATAAGCAGCAGACAATTCTGTAGGCTTAAGCATTCGGAGAATTGGTTTAATTTCTTCCCTAAGTCCGCTAATAAAACTTGACACGAAGTATCCTTCATCTAACTGGGGATTTTTCATCAGCATTAATGGCTTGAGCTCCTCAAATTTTTCCTGGTAGTCCTCAACACTCCCACTCTGCTGGATCTTATTAAATTCTTCCACTATGTCTTTACAAATTTTGTTACCAAACCTTTTGCACAAGAATTCCTCAAATTCTGTCCAACTGAGGCCTGTCTTCTCCATCTTAAGGCCTTGAAACCATCTATCTGCCTTTCCGTCTAAAAACATCTCAATTACATCTACCTTCTGATTTTCAGGAATGTGATAGTTCAAAAAATACTTATTACATTTCCTTAACCATTCTTGTGGATTTTCTCCATGGAAAAGAGGTAACTCTAGTCTAGGAGGAAAAGGTGCATAGATCCTACCTTCATCTCTTCTGGTGAAGTCTCCATTGCTTTCGCCCCCCTTGTTGATCCTATGTTGAGGCGGTGGAGTAGGTAGTAGTGGTACTTCTCTCGCTTCCTCTGCCGCACTCCTTTCTCTGTTCATCATCATCTGTAGGAAGGAGTTGAATTTCTGCTCTAGTCCAGCCATTGATGCTTCCAGCTTTTCCAGTTTGATGTTGGAATTCTCCATTTCCACTCTGATTTCGCCGCCAATTTCAACTCGAAATTGCTGTTGAGAAATATGGAATGTCTCCATAGCTTCTTGTAGCCGTGCTTCTTGTTTCTTGACGCATTCTTCCAAGGATTTCAGGCGAGTTCCTTCCGCCATTTGTAATTCCAAGGATCGATCGCTCTGATTACCAATTTGTCAGGACCTGGATGAAGAGATTTTGGATTAATTGGGAGGGAAATTAGAAAGAGGGAAAGATTCAGAGAGAATTCAGAGAAGAGAGAGAAAATGTGTTTTCATTAACAGAAAGTAGTTACAAAATCCATGCCCCAGCCAATCACGAGCTCTCTTATTTATAACCTGTCCAGATTACTAACTAACTACTCTAACTAACTGCTTAAGTCTAACGACACCGTTTCTGTCATTTCATAACCTTGGCCCAAACGACGACGTCTTCCTTCAGCTTCCTGACAAAACGTCACGGACTCCTAGGGATTGAGACTGACCCTTTTAGTAGACGCTTGAATAACCGCTGCAGCCGAGGTCAGTTCTCAATCTTTTTAACATCTATTATGTTTCTTTTGGAGTAAGTTCTTTCATGGATTGATTCAGTACGTTTTTCTTGTGAATCCCATCATCTGAATCTCCTCTGCCTTTGCACATTAGCTTCACGGCTCAGAATATAGTGCACTTAAATATGGATTTTTATGCGTGTGGGGGCAGAGAGTTTCCTATTTACTTCGTGAATCACCCTTACTTTCATTGCTAAATTAGCAATTTTGCGATTGTGTGTAATCCCTTTTGGAAAGTAGTTAAGCTCCAGCAAGTTCCTTTGTTTGGATAGCTGATTAGAAGCTAGAAGTCGAGAATCATCATTTCGGACAATTTCCACATCAGTATTAGCTGTTGTTTCTGGTACCTAATGTCGAAGATTTGACAGAACGCAAGGCTTCTTTATCAGTTTCGTGTTTATCCTCTATGCCCTTTTCCACAATTCTACTTCTTGTTTTAGGGTACCATGCGAGTTCTTGTGACTTTCCTGGCAGTTTTCTCTGCTCTTCTCCGCTTTCCAGGGGTTAAATCTCATGGAGTTCAACCACTCTCGGCGATTGCCCTCCACAGAGCTGTAATTGATATTGATGATCAAGCTTATATTAGAGCCACCCCTTTGATTCTTGGAGTGAATGTAAGACTTGATTACATGACAACTATTCGTCTGCACTCTTTTCCTGTCTATTTGACAAAAAATACTTCTAAAAAGATGCTACTATTTTTCTGCCAGAATTTATAGGCATCGTTGCTTGATGGTAACCTCTTTCTATAGTGATTTCTTATCTATAGCAGCTCTTATTTTCCATTTTGTTGCAAACGTCAAAAACTGCTACTCTTGACTCGCATGGAATTCCACCACTTTTCCAGGGGCAAAACAAAGAATGGGTCACTGTAGAGTATGGCATTCAAAATCCATCTGTTGATGATTGGATTGGAGTCTTTTCTCCTGCTGATTTCAGGTACAAGAAATTTGTTTAAATTTGAATTCCATTTCATGATTGGTCTTCTACTGGGCCCTTCATTTTTGTTCCCCAAAATATCTTGCACTTTTTTTTGAGTAAAGTTCATCTGGAGATTTAGAGTTGAACTTGATTGTGCCTCTTACATTACACGAAGGTGATAAGCTAATTCAGCCAAAATTTTCATATAATTTTCAGTGCGTCTACCTGCCTCCCTGATAATCTTAAAACTGTTCCACCTCTGTTGTGTACAGCACCAATAAAGGTTTGTTCTTTTGCTGTTCTGGGTTGGAAATGTCCATGGCATGTGCGCATGCTTTTAGCTGAAGTGTCTTTGCTTTGAAACTAATTTTGTCTGTTGCAATGCAGTTCCAATATGCAAACTACTCCAACCCCAAGTACAGAACTACTGGAAAAGGAAGATTAAAGCTGCAGTTGATCAACCAGAGATCGGATTTTTCTTTTGCACTATTCACTGGTGGATTGTTATCAGTATGCTGGCATCTTCTTACCCTTGCCTACTAGTTCCTACCTTTGCTGTAATGTATTTTTCTCTCATTATAGTTTCTTGAAGGACTCACTTCTCTTAGTTATCTGAAAAAATCTACATATCTTACTTCTTCTTATTGAATAATCTCTTGCCGAAACTTGGGACAATAAGTAGGCCAAAGTATGTTGATCTTATCTTTATCCCTTGACAGTTTATGCCATCTGATATTGGTTGGACTTTCTCTGTGGATGATCAGTTGTGTTGACTTTTCTCAGTAACGTTCTTTTGTTGCCTTGGAATTTTGTTCTATTGATTACAGCCGAAGCTGGTGGCCTTGTCAAATACAGTTACCTTTGCAAACCCAAATGCACCAGTCTATCCACGCTTAGCCCAAGGGAAGGAGTGGAATGAAGTAAGTTTACTTTGTTGTACAGTTGTGGATATGTCGTCAGGTTGCCTACTGTTGTCTGCCAAATGTAAATATGGGAAAACAATAACTTCTCATAATCGGGAATAATTTAGCAAGAAAGCAAAGGTAATCTCGACAATAATTTGTTATGTATTCAGGCGCCTGGCTTCCATTGTCTAGTTCCTTCTACGCATTCTAAATTTGCCCATTGACATTACTTGTTAAAAAACAATGGGTAAAAGGTCTCCTTATATTCATGACGTGTGGTCATCTTCAAATGTGCCGGTAATAAATGTGTGAAATGATCTCCAGATGACTGTGACATGGACAAGCGGTTATGGACTGAATGAAGCAGAGCCTTTCCTCCAATGGGGTCTGAAAGGAGGAGAACAGAGACGTTCTCTAGCAGTGACATCGACATTTGATCGTAACACCATGTGTGGTGTGTTATATTCTGTCTAGTATTTGTATTTCACCTGCATTTTACGCATAATAGAAAACTTTGTTGCAATCAAACAAATATTTTTGCTGTATGTTTTTTACGTTTAACACAAATAACTTACATCTGTATGCAATCAATCTACACCAGTTTTAACTTCGACACAGCACAGAAAGTCACCACGGAGGAAGCATCACCACAGAATGCATGTAGCTATCAATCAATGTTAATTAAGATGAAAAAGTCATTTTTGGATTATAGGAATTGAACTTCTGAGCACTCTAGTTTTCGTCCTTGACTGATATTACTATGCTTTACAAATTGGCAGAACATGGCAAGCTTTATGATGTACACTGATGTGCTATGACAAACTGTGCAGGAGCTCCAGCAAGAACTGTTGGGTGGCGTGACCCTGGATTTATTCATACAAGTTTCTTAAAGGAATTGTGGCCCAACTCAGTGTACGTCATTAGAGAGTCTGCCAAAAAAGAGATTAGACAGAAAAAGAGGGCATCACATGGTCTTACTGGATGCGTTGTTATCTAGGTATTGCTTACTATCAGGACATGACAAATAAAACTCATCATATCCGCTACTTGATTATGCAGCTACACGTATAAGTTGGGCCATAGATTGTTCAATGGCACATATATCTGGAGTCAGATGTACCATTTTAGAGCATCACCTTATCCTGGGCAAAATTCTCTGCAACGTGTGGTCATTTTTGGTGACATGGGAAAGGTTTGAAAACTTTTGGATACAGATTAACATGTATACCTTTTTCTCTCACTCCATCAACGGATCTTTTTTTTTTCCATAGTTGCATCAATGTGGAATATTTGTACTGTTTTCTAGTTTTGTCATCAAGAATCCATTTGCACTCAAAGGAGTCAATTATGTACTGAACTGACTATCTTCACTTATTGTGCTGCAGGGTGAAGCAGATGGCTCTAATGAATATAACAATTATCAGCCTGGATCTCTTAATACAACCAAGCAGCTCGTAGAAAACTTGAATGACACTGATATAGTGTTCCACATTGGAGATATCTGTTATGCAAATGGATATCTTTCCCAGTGGGATCAGTTTACTTCTCAGATTGAACCTGTTGCTTCAAGAGTACCTTACATGATTGCAAGGTTTGTTTTGAATAGTCCAAGAACTAGTTGAGCATCTGCTTCTATTGTGCTTTTATTAGGTGTGGTGTTGATGATTTGTCTTAATAGTGGCAACCATGAGCGCGACTGGCCTGGAACAGGTTCATTCTACAACACCATGGATTCAGGAGGAGAATGTGGTGTCTTGGCTCAGACTATGTTTTATGTTCCTACTGAGAACAGAGCTAAATTCTGGTATGCTGACAATATGTTTTGAATTTTCTTGAAACATCCATGAAAATCTTTCCATTACTTTGGTTAGTTCATTTGTTTGTGTTGCAAAATTGACAAGTTATATGGCAATCAAAAATCCATCTCCATCTACATGGTTTCAAGCTTTTGAGACAATTAAACTGCTGTATTAATAAATTCATAAAGAAACAAATAAGATTGAAAACAAGTAGAAAATCCTCGCGATCTTTCTCACATGCAATCTAAGCATTCAATACTTGGAAAGGTGTGCCAAGAATGACATCAAAATGCGGTGTTGTCTTGTTCTATCAGGTATTCCACAGACTATGGCATGTTCAGGTTCTGCATAGCTGACACAGAACATGATTGGAGAGAAGGAACGGAACAGCATAAATTCATTGAGCACTGCCTCGCATCTGTCGATAGACAGAAGCAGCCATGGCTAATCTTCCTCGCACATAGAGTTCTTGGCTATTCTTCATCTCCTGTGTATGCTTCTGAAGGATCATTTGCAGAACCAATGGGAAGAGAGGGTCTTCAAAAACTCTGGCAGAAGTATAAAGTTGATATTGCCATATTTGGGCACGTTCATAATTATGAAAGGACCTGTCCTGTTTATGAGGTAGGTATTACAAACTTGACCTGTCCTATAGGAGATGTCTATACTTTTGTCATCTAGCTGCATTTCGTGCATAACTTATTGAGAGACAGAATGAGGTTCTCCAGGTCAAGAATTGCTCTCTGGGTCTTTAATGCCTCAAGCAATTTATGAATTTTCAGTTAGTTTATCTTTGGACTAAAGACACTACATTCATGTCTTCCTGTCTGTCCACAGAATGTTTGTACAAGCAATGAGAAGCATTACTATCATGGCGCCTTGAAGGGGACAATACACGTGGTTGCAGGAGGAGCAGGAGCAAGCCTTGCTGAATTTGCTGCCATCCAAACTGCATGGAGTATTTTCAGAGATGTTGATCATGGATTTGTAAAATTGACCGCATTTGATCATTCAAATCTCTTGTTTGAGTACAAGAAAAGCAGAGATGGCAAAGTTTATGATTCATTCAGTATCTCCCGTGACTATAGGGACATCTTGGCCTGCACTGTGGATAGCTGCCCAGCTACAACCCTTGCAGCTTGACTATTGGATGAAGGACTGCCATCTGCTAGACATTCAAGACTCCTAGTTAATGCTATATATGCTATGTCTTTTTTTTTTTTTTTTTTCCGGAAACGATAGAAGATATTTTATAAATTCTCAAACTGTACAATATTTGAGCAAAGGCTCAAGCATCTTTACAAAGTGTACCTTGACACTTAAGGAGAGCCAAAAAATCTCTCCTCATCCATAAGTATGCTCAGGGCATAATGGCTAATTTGATTACTTAAAAGACATATTACTAATATTCCTAACCTCAAAAGAGCACATTTGAAACAGTTTAGCTAACACATTTATGTCTTCGACCAGAGTGGCTGTATTCGGATTGTCACCTTTCCCAGCTTTTAGCAAGGCAATGAGTTGTTTGTTGGCACTAATGATTTTGATTCTTTGCCATCCTTGTTGTTTTGCTTTCATTAGTGCCAATCTTACTGCCACAGCTTCATCTTGAATGTCCCTGTGCGCACTCCTTTCCACTAACTTCCACTCAGCTCTGATCCTCCCTCCAGCCTCCTTAGCTACGATGCCAATCCCCAATTTATGTCCCACTGCTGCTTTCTTAGTAGCTATCTGAAGCTCCAGCAGCTCTCCCTCCTCCCTTCCTCTTTCCCTTGCACTTCAAATAGCTCCATCTGTTTCTGATGTACTTTTCTCGTTCTTTCCTTTCCAAGCTTCCTCATATTCCATCCATTCTGAACTGGCTTTTTGCACAATTTTCAGGCCTTCTCTTTCTTTCCCTTCAAATTCCATCTGATTCCTATCCTTCCATAGCTGCCATAGCAAGTTAGCAGTCAAGGCAATATGCTGTCTTCCTTCAGTTCTGCTTGTAGCTTGACTTAATGCTGCCCACCACTTCTTGAAGCACCCTGTTTGATTCTGAATTCCATCCCACTGGATTGGTGCTAGCTTCCATACCTTCTGAGCCTGATGGCAGTGAAATAGAATGTGTTCAATCGTTTCCATTCCATCTCCACACCTTGAACAGATAGGCGATCCTTGTTTTGTCCTCCTGAAGATTGTTTCCCTGGCTGTTAATGTGTTAGTAATGCACCTCCATATAAATAGCTTGATCTTATGCTTGATATTCAGACTCCAAAGAGTTTTCCAGATTTGTTTGTTGGAATCATCATAACTCGATCCATCTTCTCCTTTTGCTCCCCTCTCCATACTTCTGTCTTCCTTAAGCAGTACCTGATAGCATGATTTAACTGAAAACTCCCCATTCTTGCAATGAGTCCAGAAATGCATGTCCCCTGATCTTGACAGACTGATGGGTATCTTCAAAATGTTCTCAGCATCCTCCCTATTGAACCTCCTGTATATCTCATTCCTTTTCCATCTGAAATTTGAAATCAGTTCTTCCACCTTTTGCTCCTCTCCACTTGCTGGCATTCTGGTAGTAGGCCTTCCATTTAGATTATTTGGAATCCATTGATCTTTCCATATTCTTATGCTCTTCCCTGATCCCACTCTTTTCAGTATGCCCCCCTTGATTGCCTCTCTTGCTGATATGATACTTTGCCAAAACCAAGAAGCATTCTTGGGGGACTCACAATTCAAAATGGAATCCTTGGGGTAGTACTTAGACTTTAGAATTCTACTGACCAACAGATTTGGGTATCTAATCAACCTCCAAATCTGCTTCCCCAGCATTGCTTTGTTAAAGCACAATATGTCGAAATGAAGTATCTGATATATTTGTTGTGAGATGCGATAGACTAGTAGAAAGGCATTCCTCACATATATGTCATACAACAGAAAAATAATAATCTTTCTTTTGTGTGACAAAAATAAGCTATCACTAGCTTAACTTTGCCATCCACCGATGCTAAAGATTGTGGCAACATTTATCCTAAAAAGAATTTGGTACTTCATATACTTTTTGAGACCCAGACCAATGCTCGGTTATTTTCTGCCGTAACACAATTAGACCCAATTCCCAAATTCTCTTAGTTGGGAAAACAAAGAGGAACTTTGGAGAGGTTATGAATTTATGATCGCTGTATTCACTAAAGACGGTCTTGGCGAAATTTGGAACTTCAGGAACCAGGAACAGAATTTCTCCAGGGAAAAAGAGCCTTCCAAAGTTAAATTTTACATCGCTTGGTTGTGTTTTGGAGGATACAGAAAGTCTTGAGAAAGTGGATTCTGCTGGTACGCAGCTTAAATTTCTAATCAGAATGTAACAACACAAAAAGATAGAAAACAACTTTGAAGCTGACAAAATAAGCCGTAACATTCAACTCTCTCTGTAAATATTTTCTTTTGAGATGTTGGCAACAAAGTAAACAATCTGTGCAGGATCAAAAACGGTGGATCAAAATAACATCCGACTCACTTTCACTATTGAATCACAATATAATTTGTATATTTCCTTCACTCAGCAGAGACACACCAATAATCTGTAAGGATCTATAATCCCAAGTTCCTTCTGCCCGCATCTTTCAGAAAGTCACCCAATATTCTTTGATCAAATATCATACTTGGCACCTGCAGACAAAGTTTCATCAGTTTTTGATCAGCACTAATTGAGATAACTGAAGCACAGGGGCAAGTAGGTCGAACCTTGTCTCCAAAAAATATCTTCGAGTTATTAGCAATTGCTTCAATGAACTTGAGTTCCAAATACTCAGGAGTAAGCTTCATTTTGTTCGCTTCTGCCTCTTTCATTGTTCTGAAACATAAAATAACAGGAGATTGTTAAAGTCCCTTGCCGTTACGAAACTCCTTTTTTAGGAATTTGGCTAATCTAAAAAGCAAAGAACATTCACCGATAAAACGCGGCATCAGCCAAACTCTTTTCACGAGCCATGTATATAGCATTTGCAATCTCCTCTTGCTTCCTTGTGCTTTCTTTTTCCATCAACTTTTGCTCCATCTGGATCTTGCTAACATGAGCATACTTTTCAGCTTCACTTATTGCTACCTTCTTCTGCGTCTCAGCTTCCTTCTCTGCAACTTTCTGTCTCTCCATTGCAATCAAGACCTACACATAGAACAGAAGAACAGATACACCTCATTAGTATGGAAAGGTTAAGTTGATAAAATTGGTCATAAAAAAAATCTTCACCGGCACCAGGAGAGCTCCATTATATTACATGAAAGGAAACATAAAATAGCCAACATCTTCACTATGTTTAGACGAATACAAATCTAGAAACCTATAGTATTAAATACTTGAGAGAATTTTATAACAAATGCTCATTGAACTATATGGCCTTGTTTTCTTTCGTGTACATGGAGCATGCTATCTTATGGGGGTCCCTGAAAATTATGAAGCAACCTAGGGGGTGAAGAAAGTTAGATGAGTCTGACTAATTCAATTTGAACCCAAAAAAACAAAAAAAATCATCTCATTCTGACATGGTTATTCAAAAGAAAATCAAGAAGAAATAAAAGTTAAAAAAAAAAAAAGGAGAAAGAAATAGAAGCATTACCTTTGTGCGTTCCTCTTCCATCTGCTCAAAATTCCGCCTTATACTGTCAGGGATCTTCGGCTTTGTAACACGAACACTGATAATTTCAATACCAGGAGCATAACGTGTGCAATCAGCTTGAAGAGCATCTTTCATTTTCTCATCAATCTGGAAACAATCACACAGTCATCTTATCAAACAAACAATCACAAAAAAGATATAATTCAAAGACCAGCAAGAGGATTGTGGAAAATTTCACACTGTAGTTCCAGCTCCAAACAGGAAACTGTCTAAATAAAACAACAAACTGAAGAAAATGAACCAATATGTACTTTAAATAATAGACCTAAAGACCAAATCATATTAGTGAAAACTTAATATTCATTCACCAAGGGCATTGGAGGATATGCACAGCATATATTTCAGGAATTTCTAGTTTCAATAGTTAGGCAGGCATTTCCTAAGAAGGATAGGTTAACCTTCTCACCTGGTCAAACATATCAATGTAAACCTGCTGAAGGGAATGTACGCTGCAAAACTGATTGATCTCATGATGGATTTTATCATATATCCAAGTATTGTCATAATTGACACCATAGTTGAGCAGCGTTTCATAAACATACTGCTTACGAAGGCGGTTAACGACCTGCAAATATGCAGGTTAACACATACAGCAAAAACAATCAAGAAGATAATAGAAGAAAAGGCGAGTAAGTAGGTAGATCTGATCAAATTACTTCTATCTTCTCAAAGTTGATCATTACACCCCCTTTTGTTCCACAAGGAATATCCCTCACCTGCATTTTAGCCCAAAACAGATTATCAGCAACCAGTCATGAGGTTCCCATTCTAATACAACTTTGCAATAAAATAATCCCCATGTTCACATTCACGCAAATACAATAAAATCTATACCAAATCTGTTTGAAGAGTAACTTGAATGGGCTCAAACTGCGTTATCAAAGGCAATTTCACATGAAAACCTAAAGACAGAAGAGTCTTAATCAGATGGCCGACATATCATACGAACGGAGAAATTAAAAAAATCCATTAAAAGATTAATACTCTTATGATGCAGAGTTAAACAACATAAAGCAAGAACCTGGATCGGTAATTGTCTTCAGAAGAGCACCCCCTCTCCAATAAACGCCAACATGGCCTTCTGGAACTTGATGTAAAGTAGCTAAGCTATCTAGCAAATTGGATGAAGAAGGAACAAGCACCTGTGACGTGGCCTGTAGAATGTCACAAGTTTCTTTATCATAGGCTTTACAGACAATAAACTTGTAGTTACCTTTCATAAAATTCTACGGCAACTAAAAAGGATTTGTGATCCTAGTAACAACATTTTGACTTATTCTTAAAAAATGTAATTGATCACCTAAGAAACAACCTACTAAGTGCAGTAAGGGTTAGCCAGCATGGTTCGGAAGGAAGTTTGAAGGTTTGCTAGATACTTTTGTGCTGTGTCCACTAGATTTCCTACTGAATCAGAGCCAAATGATTGGCATATTTAAGAGTGTCGTATTTCTGATCTTTACGGTCAACAGTTTATAGATTATGTCCCTATGTCCCTTTTTTTATTATTGGAAATGGTCCCAGAGCTGTACTATAATTTTTTCTGCTATGCTAAGGAAACATTTTTTCACCTCAGTTAATCAAATAAGGACGTGAAGATGACTCAAACTTAAAACTCCTCATTAGATGATAGAAGAGACCATCTTCAATGCAAGGAAATTGTCTCAAGTTGAATAGCAACCCCAGATCACCATACAAATGTGGTAGATGTACAGGATGGGCATTAGATAAGAGATGT